CTTTAATTTGTATTTTTAAACTGATTTTTATCTTTGAATTTGAAAAGGGTTCTTGCTAATGTAGTTAAACAGTCTTAAGAATTTAGCCCTGTTGGGCATGGTGATGTACACCTATAATCCTAGCAGAGGCAGGTGGATGCTTTTGCCTTCAAAGCCAGCCTGATCTATACATGAATTCCAAGTCAGCTAAGGCTGCAGTGAGATCATTAGCCTTGTCCTAAACACTGCTCTAGAGTGATCAGAAATCCCTGAAGGCCAGTGGGCCAGTCATCCCGTGACTGTCTCAGAATGTTGCAGCTTCACAGTGGCTGCTGGCAGTGCAACTTTAGCTCTCAATTATGCTCTCTATCTCAGAGTAAGTGTTCTTTTTCATTAAGATGGGTAAATGTTGCTCACTGGCTTGTCTAGAACGGAGGTCTCACGGGCAGTGTTTTTTTCTCTTCTTTACTCCATATTTCCTCATACAGAGTGAGACCTGGTATACAGAAAGTGCTTAGTAGACTTTCTAGTAATTTAGATTGCAGAGTTCTGTTAACTAAATGAAAATATTAGGGTAGTGTTACAGTTTAATTACTGAAAAAGAAGGTGGTACAAATTCAACTTCTTTAATGCTTTTGCTGTTTTTATGTTATTTTCTAAGTTTGGGGAGTTAGCCATCAAGAAATACTCAGAAATATGTTTTATTCAGATTTTTTTTTCTGTTGGTTAATTAGGCATCTGATCTCTTTAAACACAGGCTATATAAGTTCTGAAAAACACAGATAATAGGGAAAGCAAAAAGTATTACTTCCAAAGGCTCTGGCATGTCTACATAATTAGTCTGTGAGGGTGTGGGCTGATGTTACCTGTCAGGAGTTGGGTTCTGTACAGATAGTTTAGAAAGCAATCTTCAGGAAAGAAGCTGCCGGTCCAGACTTTGGGTACAGGGCATGCAGTTTCCCTTTCCCCCACTTCTCCAGCATTGTGCACTGATCTGGGTTCTGGTTGGCTTGTTGGGCATAATTGGGTTATCAATTCCAGACTGCTCAGTTTGAAAGTTGGATCTATTGATCAGTCTAGGTGAAGTATATGCACTTGGCCATTAATGCTGGAATACATGAACAGTTGACAGGTCAGAGCAGTAGTGTCCCAATGATACCTTCACCTACATTCTTGAAAAAAAATCTTAAAAAACATGTTGTAATGCATGTGAGTATTTTTGTCTCCATGTGTATATGTGTACCATAGGCATGCTGGTGCTCTCAAAGGTCAGAAGAAGGTATAAGATCCCCTGGAACTGTTGTTACAGATGACTGTGAGCTATTGTGCGGGTTCTGGGAATCAAACCTGGGTCCCCTGCAAGAGTAATAAGTTCTCTTAACTGCCAAGTCATCTCTACAGCTCCACATTTATCCTTAAAAAAAAAAAATACTTATTTCTTTGAGATTAATGCAATTACATCATTTCCCTTTCTCTTTTTTTCCCCTCCATACCCTCCCATGATCCTTTCCTTTTTCTCTTTTAAATTCATGGCCTCCTTTTTAATTGTTGTTTTATATGTGTGTGTGTGTGTGTGTGTGTGTGTATGTATGTATGTATGTATGTATGTATGTTTTTTGTATGTTAATCCTCAAAACAACTCTCAAAAGGTTTTCAGGAGCCAGAGGATCAGGGAGTTCTCTGTGAGATTGTGTTGTGTCTTCTAGTAATTAATGTCAGAAGCTACACCCATAACTCTCTCCAACACAGTTGTCTAAGCATGAACTGAACAAGGACAGCAACAGTAGGCATCCTGAAGTGGACAGGGGAAAGACCACATCCTTTTGAGAGTGCCGGAACACAGAAGCCTGTGTTCTAATAGGGGATGTCCTGTACACTTGTGTTTCTGCTCAGGGAATGTTTACTCTGTTTATTGCTCTACAGATACAAAATTGTTCTTTTGTAGGGACTTAAAATTTAAAACTAAAGAATGGCAACCCAGTAGTCAGTTTTTGACATGATGCCAGAAAGGCGCCCTACATTAGCATTTCATGGTCCAGCATTTTCCATATCATACATTTTTTTTTTCTTAGCTGTGAAATTTCGGCAGATTGTTATGCAAAATAGTTTTGTGTCTCTGTGTGACTGAGAAGACAGCTGTTAGTCCTAATGAGGAGTGCTAGCATTACAGTATTTCCGTTGATTGAGACCCACGGAGGGAGCAGAATGTTCCAGATCAGGCAGTGGTGTGTGGTGAGAAGGTACCATACTGTCAGCTGGAAGTACATGCTCGGCTGCTCTCCACGACAAGATAAATGAGTTTTGCTGGAGTTTGGCAGAGTTGAAAGCTTTTCCAGTGAGTGGTTGTAGCTCACTAGTCTCCCCGTGGGACCCACAGTCCAAGGGTGCCTTTAAAACTACTGCGTCTTTGCCAGGTTTTTCTTTTGATGTCCTACAATACCTGTCAGGACTGTGATTCATTAAGAACCCAATGTCTTCTAGCATTTCATTAACATAAGGTCAGATACTTTTGTTGAGGCTCTACATTAATTAGTGAGGTGCTAGCTGAAATGTAACTTGGCTAAAGCCTTCTAGAACACAGTGCAAACAGAAGTCAATGGGCATCTTTACCTCATGGTTTTCAAATCTCTGGCAATAGGAGAAGCTCTTTAAATGTTCCTGTAACCTTTGCTACACCTCATTTATAGTCAGGCCCTATGCTGTTACTTATTTAAATAAAGAATACATGGGGTTGGAGAGATGTCTCAGCTGTTAAGAGCACTGTCTGCTCTTGCAGAGAACCTACCTGGGTTCAATTCCCAGCACCTGTATGGTGACTTACAACTGATTATAACTCCAGTTCCAGGCATGTGACACCCTCACACAGACATATATGCAGGCAAAACACCAATGCATATAAAATAAAAATCATTAAAAACTATATATAGGTCAATCATAATTTTAAGATTTGTCCATATAGTCATTTATCCCTGTATCATACATTGCTGTGTGCTGTGTCTTTTATGTTTTGTCCAGATGTAGTATAGTAGTTTCTAGCCCACGTGGTTTTGTCTTCCTGGAGACACTGTTGGTTGTCACATATATAGAGAGGTACCCACTGTGTATTAGATGAGCTGAAACAGGGAGGCTGCTATCCCACACAGTGCCCAGGATATCCCACCACCAGAGAACAGTCCTACCCAGTATCAGTTGAGTAATTGGGATGGGCAAATTTGTGTTGCAGAAGGCAAGATGTGTTATGTGAAAATAGCGCTATCCCTGTATTAGTCCTGATTGTGTTCTGGTGCTTTCAGTGTTGGGCCATGGCTTATTGTCAGGTGTTGAAAACCTTTTGGTTGTTAGTAGCTACACTGGTGTTGCAGTTTAAAGTCCTTGATTAATGTAGTAGAACTTAGATTTAATTAGAACTTAGCAGTGCCTTTTGGATAATTGAGTTTTTATAAATTGGACCTGGTGACTTAATAGGTTCTCATCAAGAGTCTGAATAGAGCATGGAATCACATCTTACTATAGACTTGGGATAGGAGCGAGTGCCATTTAAATTGGAATTTGGAAGTTCCAAGCAGTTGATGTTTATGTTTAAAATGTAGAAACCAAACTTTTGTTCATGCAAATTAATAATTTATGGGTATAAAAAGACAGCATATCCAGGTTTACTTGATTGTCATCTTGTAGGGCAACTTCAACAGTTTGTAAACAATGAGCCTTCACATGGAATGGATGGTCATGGGTTTTGTAGTGGTGGGAGATAGTTAAAGAGGTGTGGATGAAGTCTTGAGAGGCTTCTGCATTGGCATCTTTAGGCATGGATTTAGGCAGTGTTCTGCTTTGTGTACCAATCTGGAGAGATTGGATATTAACATATTAACTAAAATGCACAGCCAGCACTGCACCAGGCAGAAAGCAAGTTCTGCAAAGTCCCACTACAGAGATGTATGGTGAAATGGAGACTCACCTGCATTCAGTCAAAATAGTATTGCCTAGGTCTAGGGATTCCTCTATGAGATGCTGGGTTGCATGTCATGCCTTAGTTCTTGGGATGTAGGCTTTGATCACATTTTCTTACAGAACTTGCCAGTGAAGAGAGGTGATTGAGAATTTTTGGCTTCAAGTGCCATTTATCATTTCAGTCCTGTCTCTCAACAAGTGATTGATGACTTTTGTTTGAATGGAAGGGTTGCATCATAAGTTAACCTAATATGCCATGGTCACTTCTAAAAGGAATAACTTTCCCAGTGACTAGTGGTGGTGGTGGTGTGTGTGTGTGTGCACTTTGAAGCCTTAGGTCACCATCTAGTATTTTCTTCACTCATTTGCTCTTTAGTTTTTGAGACCAATTATCTTACTGAGCCTGGAGTTCACAGATTTCAGAAGACTGGCTGGCTAGCAAGTTCCAGGGACCCTCCAGTCTCTACCCCCCTCAGCTCTAAGATTACAGATGTCTGCTGCTATGCCTTTTATTATTTATTTATTTTTCTATGTGGGGTCTGGGGATTGAACTTGGAACCTAATGCTTGTGTGACAAACATTTTATTGACAGACCTATCTCACAGGTATATCCTACTTGGAAAAAAAATATGTCAATTGAACTTCTTTACCACTGTGAATTATTACCCAGTGTTTTCCCTAATCCCAATGTTTTGGTTGAATTGGAAGTTGCAGTTGGAATGGCTTTTTATTTAATTCATCCCACCAGACCTAAATATATAGAAATTTTGGCAGGCTGTTTAATTCATATTTTCCTAGTAACTTCTTTGCTGTGCTGTCTGAGGATGATAGGACAAAGGAGACATAGACTGCATTTTCAGTTGGGATATAAAGCAAGGGTCCTTCCTTATTTAACATATCCATTTAAAAAGAGAGTTTAATAAGCAGGCACAGGTTGCGGAGTAGAAGATGCTATAAACTTTCTCCTTGTTCTCTGCACCTCTCTGGAAGCATGGTTTTGTATAGCATGCACTGTGGGGGATAGTTGATACATTCTGCACTCTAACTGCTGATGTGTCTGATTTTGCCTGTAGCACTGTGACCTCTGCTGTGTTCACTGTGGGAGACAACGTTGTTTCAGGCAGTGATGACCGTACAGTAAAAGTCTGGGATTTAAAAAATATGCGATCTCCAATCGCAACAATCCGTACAGACTCTGCCATTAATAGGTAAGGATTGCTTGTGATTTATTGCTTTGTGTAATGATACAGCCTTTGAGAAGGGGGTTCAGACTCCCGGGGAAATATTTTATTGATCCTCTTATGTGAAGTCAGTATCTTATAAGTACTTAACCTTACTCAGTACTATATTACATTGATGTAGTAAGACTTAGAAGAGTAAGAGTGGGCCTTTGGTAGCCAAATGCTGTAGAGCTTTCTTTATTTACTGAGAGGCTCTGTTTGCTGTTGGGTAATGTGTGTCTGTGTTCTGGCAGTTAGGTGTATCTTAGTGTCTTTTCCAGCATTGTAGGCAGACTACCCCTGTAGTTTGCTAATGTAATGTGCCTTGAAATGTGAAAAATGTGGTCTTTATTACTGCATTATCTATAAATTCTAAATACTACACTGTCCAAATTTTATATAAACTTGTTTTTTACATCTTTTTTGTAGGATCAATGTATGTGTTGGCCAAAAAATCATAGCTCTCCCCCATGACAACCGGCAAGTGCGATTGTTTGATATGTCAGGAGTGCGACTAGCCCGGCTTCCCCGGAGCAGCCGGCAGGTATTGGTTACAATGTGTTTATCATGAACAGCAAAGGAGAATTTGCAGTTCCATATTTTATGTTAGTTGCCTCAGAGAAATACAAACAGGCCACATTAAAACTAGAGACTTCCACATTTAGAAGAGAAAAAATTAGCTTTAGTGTGTATTTTATGAGATGAGGAGCAAGTCATAGACTGGTGGCAGCTCCTGGATATGGGATACCTACCTCCACCTCCAACCAAGAAAACATCCTCCTGTGGTTGGGTACCACAAGAAAAAGTTCTGTATTTCTTAACAAATTAGGGAATTTCTCCTTGCTACCATTAGATGTGATACATAGGAGTTTGGTGGGTACTTCTGTGTGGTTTATTTAGATCACCCCAGAATTCTTGCATTCATGGCTCCAGCTCAGCCAAACAGAATCAGAATGTGTTCAGGGAACAACTAGAACTGTGCTTAGATGATTTTGATGCTCTGTGAAGTTCGGGCTGGGTCCTCAGCATGTGTTATCTGGGTTGATAAGTAGTAGAGGCAGAGGTTGTAATGAACATTCCTTTCTTTAGGCTGTATGTTTAACTGAGATCCCAAAACACAGTGCTAGGGTTACTATTGGCTGTAATGAAACACCATAACCAAAGCAATTGGGGAAGAAAGGTTGTATTTGATGTACACTTCTGCATCACTGTTCATCATTGAAGGAAGTCAGGACAAGAACTCAAACGAGGCAGGAGCTGATACAGAGGCCATGGAGGGGTGTTGCTTACTGGTTTGTTCCTCATGAGTTGCTCAGCCTGCTTTCTTATAGAGCCTAGGACCACTGCCCAGGGTTGACACCACCCAGTATTTGCCTCACCTGAGCTACTCCTTTGTTGAGTTTTCACTTTTACTTCATTCATTCATTCATTCATTCATTCATTCATTCATTCATTCAAGTAATGTAGTCAGCATGATGAAAGTGGTACATTTTGTTTCAATAATAATACAGTAATTCTGTTGTATGTATTTATTCCTAGGGTCACAGACGAATGGTGTGCTGCTCAGCATGGAGTGAAGACCACCCTATATGCAATCTGTTCACATGTGGGTTTGATAGGCAAGCTATTGGTTGGAACATCAATATTCCTGCATTGTTACAAGAAAAATAAGTCACTGGTGTTCCTTAGTTTGAAGTTTGCCATGGACCTTTGATTCATGCAGGCTCTTCTGCATATTAATCAGCCATTATAGTGAGAGTTTAGCCCTGGGAAGGGTGCCTTGTATATGTTCTTTTCACATCGTGCCCAGCTTGCATGAAATGTACAGAGAGATGTGTGATTCTGTTTTTTTTTTTTTTGTCTTGTGTATATTGGCATCCTCTGGTCAGTAGAAGTGAAACTCACTCCCATGTAGCATACAGAATGCTTTGAGTTGTTGATGTTGACAGATGAGCAGTAGGGCATTACATTACATTATATGAATTAAATGTGAACTATGTACCTGTTGTGAGGCATAAATGGTCTGTTACATTGTCTGGAGTAACTATACATATCTACCTTGTCCTGGGAAGACTGCAGAGCTCATTTGCGTTGGCTATCGAGAGGCGGGATTGAGAAAACTTCATACTTGGTTTCTGTGAAGTTGTAGCATGTACTGTTATGTAATTCCATTTCAATTCTTCTCTACCAGTTCTGTAAAAGTAACCTGGATTTACAGCATTTGTGCAAAGTTTCTTTTGAGAAGAAGATGTTTCTGTTCTTTTATATAAAGGATTTCAGTCTCCTGATGTCTCAGCAAATGTTCAAATATGATTCTGATCACTGATTTTAGACATTAAACAAAATTCAAAGCACTTTAATTTAAAGCTGTGGTTATCAACAGGTTTGAGAAGTTTCAAATGACATACCCACTGAATGTGACTTGATCTTTATACTAAGGCCCTGCTACCTGAAGACGAATCTTATTTATTTTCTACACATTTGATTTTCGTTTTTCTAAATGGGTTCACTTCCTTGTTGGTATTTGAGAGCCAAGAATGCAAATAAATGAGCACTACCTCAAAATAAATATTGGGAAAACTTTGGAGTCTTACTGTTGCCTAGATAAAGCACTTGGATTTAAAGCTGGAATATTGAATTCAAGGTAGAAGGCAAGAAAGACAAATACCAAACATGTCCTGGTGGTGAAAGGCTCTCCAGTTAGGCTGGAAAGTGATAACCATGGCAGAGAGTTCATAGGCAGCAAGAGTATTTGTCTAACAGCATGGATACCTCTCAGTGCCAATCCTACTACTGCACATGTGAGCCTTTCGTTCTTGCCTTCTAGAAATCACTGTTCATCTGATATTTGTAAGTTTGTGTTTCTTACAGAGTTACAGTTTTGATAAAGAGACATCTCAGTTACTGCCCTTCGTATTTTAGTCCTTTGCATACCGCCGTTTGGAGACTGACCACTTGGGGGGGAAAAGAGAAAAGGTAGTGAGTGTGCTGTTACATTACCTCACCTCTTCTCCCTCAGTTCCTATTTTCTCTGAGTGCCACAGGAGGGCACCTGACCTAGTAAGTGGTAGGAAGTTTGGTGTAAGACGTGTATTGCTGTGCGTAAAATATTTGGATGTCCTTTGGTGGCACTTTCCAGGAGTGAGGACTTGGTTATCGGCACCTTTGATTTGGGCACCAAAGGAGCTGATATTAGGAACATCTGACTCATTTAGAATGTTCTTTGAATAATTTTGTTTTTTTTTCAACTGAAAAAAAAGTAAGAGCTTTTAAAGTCTGACCCTTTCTGATCATAATTCTTACCATGTAGTATTTGAGAACCGAGTCAGGCTAGTCACTGTAATTGATTACATTTTTAAGACCTAGCTCTGGCTGTTTTGATTGTATTTTGCTTGATGGTGGAGTATTGTAGGATGATGTTCCCAGTGGTCTGCTTAACCTTACAGCCACACAGGGTTTCCCCTACCCCCTCCATTCTACTACACTAGAGTTGTTAATGATGGTGACAAGCCATGTTCTTATGTTCCTTGTATCTTAATCTGAAAGTCTAGGTATAGTTAAGAGCATTGAAAAAAAGTATGCAAATACAAGCAGCAAAATCAAACATAAGATCCAGACCTCTGCTACAGTTTTGAAGCTTTAAAAAATTGTATTGGTGACCATTTAGTTCTATGCAGACTAGTGACCTTCACTGCCAATAGCTGCTTTTTTTTTTTTTTTTTTTTTTGACTAACTGGAGGGACCAGCCTCTGATACAGAAATGAGGCTCACCACTCATTTCTAGAAGACCCTAATGGTGCTCAATCAGAGTGCTCAGGAGCAGGATGTGACTTCATTGTTAACTGCTGTGTCGTCTGTTCACTGCTGAGGTCAGTGTTACCTTCAAGAGTTTATGACTGGCACAGGTTTGTGCTCATGAGTGTGTGCAGGCTGTTTGCATCTAAGGATAAGTCATGCTATCAGTCATGTGTGATCTTATTAGAAATAGTGTTTGGAAACAGGAACACTATTATGTGCTTAAGTGTCCAGAATTTCATTTAATAATGGAGGGAAAATGTGTGGTTATTAAATGTGCATTGAAGCAAAATTTCCCAAGAGATTTTTTTTTTTTTTTTTTTTTTTTTTGGTTGGACAGACTTACTTTCCCCCCTCCCCCAACCTTAACTGCTGCATCAGTTTCTGTGGACTCAAAAAAGCTCTGTACATATTTGGGGATCTGAAGACTATGTAAATCATTTGTTACTTATATCTGTGAAAAAAAAAAGTTTTGTTTTTTGAGGGATAAGTGCATTTATAAGTGTTCTGTGGAATCAGTTATCTTTACTGTATTGTTGTAATTGTTTGTAAATGTTCAGTGTCTTCATTGAAATATGAAGTTCATTAAAACATTTGTGTTCTGTATTTACTATTATAAGGGTTTGTGTTATTGGGAGTATTTTGTTTTTATTCCTCATGTGTTAGTTTGTGAACCAATTTAGCAGTTATAGAAACATTACTTGTCCAGAAATTGAGCAAACTGCTTATAATGCCTGTTTGAATTTTTTTTAATCTTAGAGTTAAAACGCAGTTATATTCTCTATCCATTTCTTTTGCAAATAAAGACTAGCATCTTTTGCAAATAAAGACTAGCATGTTCTACCAAAACATTTCTTCCACACCACCCATAAATCTTGCTTTCCTATAATAAATTAAGATTTAAAAAAATATTTCATAACTGGAAACATTTCAATTATGCACAAAGAACATGGGCCATACTATGGAAAGAAGCTAAAAATGAAGTTATGAGTTTCAAGATTTAAATTCAATTTCATTATAATAGCTTTTGTTAGGGATCTTGGGAGTGTGTGAAAGAAATAACAGTATTTTGGGGACTCATGAGTTGTGGTTGTAGATAGAGAGGTATTCAGTAGCTCTTGTCAGGTCATTTAGCCAAGGAGTCTTTGCTAAGGTGACATTTAACCAAAGTAGGTAGTAAGTTGTGGGGCATTTCTTGTAGGATGCTGTGTGCAAAGGTGGTGAGAAAGAGCTTGGCACGATGTGGTTACTGACCACAGTGTGGCAACATATGGCCTGAAAGTGGGGGGCCTGGGATGAGGCTGGGTGTCTTCTCATTTAGAGGCCTTGGTAAGAAGTGTGGATTTCACACCCTGTCTGTTGTTTCCTCGTTGAGATGCAGTAAGAATTGACAGACTGTGGAGATGTCCAGGTGAGAGGAGCTGCTTCCAGGCCTTGTTGGCAGCAGGATGCAGGATGGCAATAGTATGCATTTGAGATCTATATTGGGGATAGCACAGGTATTTCTTGCAGGAGGGAATCATTATTTATGCCACAATCCAAATGTATTTTCGAAGAACTACCCATTCTAGCCTTCCTCAGGGTCTCCAGACATTTAAGGGACAGTTGTGAAGGACTTTCCCTTAAAAAAGCAGTACCTCAGGAAATTTCAGTCATGGGAGGCATTAATTTAGTATTGCTAAATGTATTTGTTCTCTATGCTGACAGATACTTTGTCACCACCACTTATCACTACCACTCGCAGTGTTGGCCTTGTGCCCATCCATCCCTCAGCCACAGGGAAACAGTAGGAACAATCCCTTCTTTTCTATGGCCAATCAGGACCCTCCCTTGAAAGAGAGAAAGCCAGTTTCTCTCTTAAGTAAACTGTAAGGCTCCAGTAGTTATTAGTGACCCTGCTTTTAATCCTAGTGAAAAATAACAGTGAGTGTTTCAAAATTCTAAGAAAAGAAATTACTAGAAGTGCATATTCTATATTTGAAAAATGAATGTGAAGAAAGTTAGGGGTGAAATGCTTTCAAAATGAGCAAAAGGCACCAACATATACTTACGTATAGTTAATGTTACTGATTTATTCAATAGGGACATTCAGTTAGTGATAGTATATTTTTAAGTTTTCAAATATAAATTTTCAAGTAGAATCACTTAAAAACAAAAACAAAAGAACACGTTGTGCTCTCCATTGTGGCTCAGCAGTTAGGAGAGCTTGCTGTTCTTTCAGAAGCCTGGAGTTTGGTTCCCAGCACTCCAAGCGGGCAGCTCATAGTCACCTGTAGCCTCAGTCCAAGGGATCCAGTGCCTCTTTTGGACTCCTTGGGCACCCAGACAGACAAAAATAACACATTAGAATAATAAAAAGGGGTTACTGATGGCATTGGGAAATAAAGGAATGAAGATACAAAGGAAGTATCATACTGGGGGGGGGGGGGAATCAAAGATTTTGCTTTTGACAAATAGATTTCTGGAATTATCAGGTGTTTTTATTTTGGTGTGTGTGTGGGTGCATGTGCACGTGGAGACAGCAGAAGCTGCCATCCAGTGTTCTTTGGGAGCTGTCTACCTTGTGTTTTGAGATCAGGTCTCTTCATTGAAGCTTACTGGCTAACCAGTGGGCTCCTGGGATTTGATTGTCTTTGCTTCTCCCAGCACTCAAGTTACAAGTATGTGCCATTATTTCTGTTTTTCTTCTGTGGGTTCTAGGGATTGGACTGAGGCCCTCATCTTGCAAGGCAAACAATATACTAACAGCTATCTCCTCAGACCAGTTTTTATACATCTTTATATACCCAGTGGCAGTTCTGTCCCTGGAGAATCCCAACACAGTGGCCTATTTAATGAATTATAGTGTTGCCAGTTATCCACGTGGATTGAGATGCTGAATATGATTCCTTCACACCTAACAAAGTGATTAAAGAAAAGACACTAGTGTGTGGGCGCGCTTGTATGGCTGGACTTATCAAAAGCAGTATAACAAAAATGCATTAACCATGTTAGAAAGGATTAGCAAATTCACATTAGATATAATAATGAGTTGTGGTCATTATAAGACATCCTAAAACCAAAGTATAGTCATGTAGTCACAATGTATTAATTCACAGAAGCGTGTTTTTTTGTAGGATACTAAACCAAACAAGATTGTATATGTTGATAGGAAAACTGGAAATCGGGCATCAAGTGAGAATGGGAATGTTAAAGAACAAATAACATAGGAAGAGCAGGAAACGGGAGTGAGACCAATTGTCAGATTGAAGGATCTGCCAAGAATATAGGCTACTAAAACCTTTACATGTTGTTTCCTGGGATATAAAATACTGCAATGACTGGAAAATAGTATCTCCATAATCCAGCAGTTACAAGGTGAAGATTTCAATGGGAGGAGCAGGCATATAAGTGATGATTGGTCTACACAGTGAGGTACTACTATCAGTTAAATATTAGGAACCACATATGGTTACATTGCCATTCTTGATCTTAGGAGCCTTATGTGAATGCAAACAAACCAATGAATATACAATATGAAACCATTTTTTTAAAAGGCACAAACCAAGTAAAACTAAATTCTATCTACCTATCTAATTTATCCCACTTACATATCTATCTGTCATCAGGAACAAAAATGCAAAATTTAGTGTCATGTTTTCTGTGCTGGGGCAGTTGGGGTAGGGAGACAGGAGACCAAATAGGGAAACCCAGACTTGCCAAATTCCATGTTTAATCTGTGTAAAGGCACATGCTGTGGTACACATGTGGAGGTCCAATGACAACTTGATGGAATTGGGTCTCTCTGC